CAGAGAATATCAGACACGGACAGAAATGTTCACAATGATGAGATCTACCTACTGTCAATTTACAGCAAAACTGTCAATAGACATCTGATCTTAATTATTGCTCTGTAATGACAAACTCTAAGGAAAATTCACAACGGAAAGTCCCTTATCAAATAGCAAAATTAAAAGCTCCACCACATCAACCGAATGGTAAACAACTGTCATATTCCTGACTAGGTAAGGCATTTCTTTATGTAGAAAATGGTAGAAGTTATTGGATTTTAACGACGATTTTTACACTTTTTGCGTTTTACCTCTCATCATGTAACCTATAATCGATAGATAGAAACTTATTATAGCACATAGCACAAATGATTATCAAGACAAGATCTACAAAAAGGTCAATCTGACCGAAATTGTCAGTAAACTCTTTATAAATTTGAAATTATAAAGAAACTAAGGTTTCAACTCCCTCAGGTAAAGTTGGCCTTAGAAGGAATTGGCTATTATTTTAGGTCATTTTTGATTATATAGCTCTTCAACTGTTTCGGTTTTATACATCCTTGGCTTTCAAATATTCGGCTTTGAGCGTTCCTGATGAAGGTAAATCCAGCGCTTCGGACGCATTAAATTTATACGTGTTGTTTTAATTTTTATATAATTTATAAGCCTTAAATTTTACCAATAGTTTGCCAATAAAAACATCAAAATAGGAAACAATATCATCAAGACAAGATCTACATATAGGTCAACATGACCCAAATTGTCAAGCAACTCGTTATAGGAGTTGTTGCCCTTAAATGGCGGTATTTTTTTACTAATTACACCTTATGTAAGAATCCTGGGTTTTGATTGGTTGATAGCCAGTGTATTTTTCACCAATTTACTTTTATCAAATGAATATCGTTCATTTTTAAACAGCGCCGGGGTATATACAAAAAGGATATGTCTTTTTTACCCTCTCTGCCGTGGTATTTGCCAAACAATATTCTATCCGACTGGACGCTTGTAATGTCACGATCATCAATGCGTTTTATGTTACGATCATCAATCCGTTTTCTACGTTAACATTCGGTGTAATTAAACAGATATAGCATGTTCTTGAGGGGTATTTGCGAAAAATACCAGTCTTGAGAATGAATTTCCCTCGCCTTACGGCTCGCGAAATTTAACGTTCTCTCGACTGGTATTTTTCGCAAATACCCCTCCTTAACATGATATATCTGTTCAAAATTTTATGTTTTTTCGCCATTTGTCTTGAAAACTATAATAGAAAAATAAAACTGTAAAAAAGCAAAAAAGCAAAAGTGACAGCAGAACAAGATGGCTGAAATTGTCAGTTAACACTTTTTAGGAGCTATTACCTATCAATGATGATGTTTACTTATTTCTCCATTTTTATGGAGCATTTTGGTGGATATAGAAAATCAATAAACTGCACAAAATATCAGCAAGACCTACATAGAAAGTGAGCATAGCCCAAATTGTCAGTCAACTCCTTATAGGAGTTATTGCCCTTATTTGACGATTTTTGACAATTTTGTTATATTTTGGGCAACAACAATAATAGATGGAGACAAACTGCCATGAATTTACGTAGCGTTTGCGTGAACCTTAAATGCTACTATAAATACAGTCCTGTTTAGACATATATGTATTATCAATTAGAACATATCATACTCCTATCTTTTCAGTAAAATTAATCAATTTCTTTTTATAAGAACTGTCGAGAAACAGATGTTTTCAGTACTGACATTTTTTAGCTTATTTCAGGACTGACATTATAATAAAGAAAATATTTTGCCCTTTTAGTACAGAAAATTTCTGTTATTTTCAGTAATGAAAATTTTGTCATTTTTCAGTACTGAAATTTTTTCTTATAAAATTCACAAAAATGTACGACAAAAGAGATGATTTTATTTCCTTGTTGTTGATTTTCTTTTTTTGGACGGTGATGTTCCTCTAGCATCATCTTACGGTGTTTATATATCCCAACTCGTTCGTTATGCCAGTATCTGTAGTGACGTTTTGGTCTTCAATGAGCGGAATCTATGTATTACTGGTAAATTATTAAGTCAGGGATTTCGTTACCACAAATTACTTAAAATCTTTACTAAATCCTTCCATAGATACAAAGACTTGGTTTGCAAGTTTGGTTGTACCTGTAAAAAACTTATTTCAGACGGAGTAGCATATCCCAAATTTTACGGTGATGTTGTTTACCGAGCCCGGAAATTTATATACGATCCGGGTAAACTTATCAATCCTTTAAATAAACTTATTCTAAAAGGTTACCAATTCAACACTGTAATTAGATCTTTGAATATTGTTTTTATTGGTATAAATATTGTTTTTCTTATCAGTAAATAAAAATCATACTAAACAGTTTTGTTATACACATATGCACTTTAACGGTACTGCAATCTGTCGATACCTTTATTTTGGCATTGCACAAGGTCATGTTTTTCTCAGACTGTTAATGACGTCTTTAAACTAAATCCATTGTATGTTGGATGTGTACATATTGATATTTTAGATACATGATTCTTTTTATTAGTTGTTATTGGCTTTGAACTAGCTGTCAGTAACTGCGAGTACTCTGAGATATGAACTTAGTGTTCTTTTTGTTGTTAGGGATGAGGGATTGATAAATACCCTGCCACGTCCAGTCTGTGTTTATGTTTGATGTTTTTTTACTTTGTATCGATCTGATGAGTTAAGCCGTTTTCAACTGATTTTTATAGTTTGCTCTTACGTTGTGATGTTACACCACTGTCCCAGGTTAGTGAAGTGTTGAGCGCTCACAAACATGTTTAACCCCGCCACATTCTTTATGTGTCTGTCCCAAGTCAGGAGCCTGTAGTTCAGTGGTTGTCGCTGGTTGACGTCTGTCATATTTGTTTTTCGTAATATGTTTTATTATAAATTAGGCCGTTAGTTTTCTCAATTGAATTGTTTTATATTTTTCATGTCGGGACCTTTTATAGTAGACTATACGGTATGGGTTTTTCGCATTGTTGAAGGCCGTACGGTTGCTTATAATTGCTTACATCCACTGTATTTGAACTTTGGTGGATAGATGTCTCATTGGCAATCATATCTCATCTCCTTATTTTTATATTATAGTTTTCAAGATATAAGTCAACAACATATGTTGATCCCTATGCTATATGTTAGAAATGGTGGCTGAGTTTCACTGCGGACATAAAACATATCATTTGTAAAGAAAATAGAATTCCGTTTGTTGTAATCTTCCATCCCGATCTGACAAATATTTCATCTACTGTTCATAAGCACTGGCGTCTTATTGAAAATGACTCTTCCTTAAAAGAAATTTTTCCATCACATCCTGTTGTTGCTTATTGCAGACCCAAAAATCTCAAAGATGTACTTATTACATTCCAACGAATGTAACTTTAACACGCTAATAATTGTTTTAAAAATAGTTGTTATATTTTATGTTTTAATGCAATATTTCGCTAAACAAATTAGCTTCATCAGGCGCGTGTAGTCATCCAGGTAAAATCGGATGCTGTTTAGACATTTTTTCAGCTTATCGTATATGTACTTTAAATATATTTTTGCAGCTTATTGTACATTGCGATTAATATATCAAAACAAATAATTGTGTTAGTTAAATAGTATGAAGTTCACGATTTATTCCTTTGGTTTTTGATAAAAAAAAGTATATATTTATATATATATATACATGTACACATATGTCTGCCTATATGTAGTGACAACTGTAAATTATACCTTTTCCATCGGATTTCTTTTGATTATAAAGTGTCTAGAAAATCAACCTTACGATGTTAGAGTAGATCTGATTCTTTACTTCCTCCCCGACCGGGGCTGGAATTTGTACTTTTCACTTCATACTTCTACGACAACACAGCCTAGCATTGCGCAGACACCTTATCCCCTCTTCTAACTATAGCTGATAAAATCAGCTTTCGTTTCGGGAGGTGTTACCTTCTCGTAGGAATTAAACAAGGACATTTTAACGCAATACACAAAGTATATTAGTATAAAGTAGTTTCTATTATATATATATATATATATATACATGTACATATATACAAGTCTAAATTGTACACATATATATATAATAGAAACTACCAAAACCTTGTTAGTTTATTTAATTTATGTTTGTCAATTATTTTACTTTAGGCCATTATTACAGAAACAAAAACCGTTTGTTTTGCATTTCTTCCCGCCGCTAAAGATAGATAATTTCCTTTGATATAATTTGAAAAAAATAGTTTTCCGAAGTGACGTCAATACGAGATAAGTTGTGATTAGTTTGGAGAAAATCCCAATATGCAGTACATCCCCCCCTCCCTCCGTAAATTTGGAATGTTCACAGTCAAGCATATTAAACAAATTCGCATTTAAAAAGCATTTGCATATTGAAATATCCTGTTAATTATTCAGATGTGAATTTTAAACCTACAGAGAGCACAATAAACAGTAAATTGCAGTAGTTCCTATTCCTTATTGCCGGCAGTGGTAAATATAGCAACATAAGTTGAGGAAGTCTTCCATTATATAAGTGTGTTTGGTCTTGGTAAGAGGACTCTTGTTATCTATTTGGTTTTTTTTTTTATTTTTATTCTCTTTTCGTGGCCTGGTTTTTCCTTCCTCTACTTATAGTTTTGAATGCTCTATTTGTATCCTTTCTCCCTTTTTGTCCAAATAATTTCCTTTCAGGGCGAGATTATCAATATTGAACGGTTGAATAAATCAATAACTACAAATAGGGAGATGTGGTATGAGTGCCAGTGAGACAATTCTCCATCCAAGTCACAATGTGTAAAAAGTAAACAATTATAGGACAAAGCGTTCAAATAGGGAGACGTATAGATTTCTTCATCCTCGAAATGTCCACTCCTCGGAAATATCTTTTTTCTTTAGTTAAAAATTTATATATTTTTCTATCGCAATAGATTTTATAGTTATACCGAATGATACTGTTCAATAATTGTTTTATATATAAAATATTTAACACATCTGTTATAGAAATGGGAAAAGCTGAGCCAAAGGAGGTAATAAAAGATGGACAATTTGAAAGAGTGAGAAAGATTACAGATCAGAAAGGACCAGATGCAGTGAAAACATATCTTCAAAAAAATATTTATCGAAGGAAAGAAGAAAAAGTATCATTTGCTGTAACTGGAAGATCCGCTACTGGAAAATCAACGCTTATTAATAAAGTGCGCGAGGTTAAACCAGGTGATCCAGGATTCGCCAAATCTGGAAGTGGAAACACTACAAGAGAACCAACAGCGTACGAAAATCCACAAAATAAGAGAATAGTATTCTACGACCTACCAGCAGTCGGAACAATGGAGTTTCCAATAAATACATACGTTTCAAAAATGAAATTAAGTCAATATGATTACTTTTTCATATTTTTTGACAAAGTTGTAAGTGCAGATGACTATTTCTTTATCACCAAATTGGTAGAATTGAAAAAGCCGTTCAGTTTGGTGAGGTCAAAAATTGATGAAGATGTGAGAAATGCTGTAGAAGAGGGACGAAAGATACCAGAGGGACAGTCAAACTCATAGATCGAAAACAAACTGACAACGTCATGTAGATGATGGAAAGAGAGAAGAAGAGATTATTCCGGAAATTCGAAAGAACATTCAACACGAAATATCACGTTATGCCTTTGGGAAGAACTATGATGCAGTTTTTCTTATTTCTAGTAAAAAAACAGAAATAGGTGACTGGTGCAAGCTTTTAATCCATATAGAAAACTATAAAAAAAAAATTGAAACGTTTGTGTATTCTGTACCATTGCTTACAGAACCTGTCGTTGACTCTAAGTACCAAACTTTGAAAAGACGTGAAAAATTGCTTCATTAAGTGCTGCAGCCATCGTAGCAGTTAATTCCTATTTCCAGAGTATCAGTGGTGGCAAATCTAACAATATTAGTTGAAGAAGTCTTCCATTATATCAATGTCTTAGATTATCGATCGGTTGCACCCAACATATGCTTGTAATTGCAAATCATTTGTGGTGTTATCATATCCCGTTTAAACATAAGCAGTAGTAAACCTTAATTTTGATAATACAATGAATAATTAACAAACGAATTTGATAGTTGCTCTCATGTGCAGAAAAAAAAAATCCTTATTCATCGGAATAATGGTTAATTCTCTATAGTAATGGTATACTCTTTGTAGATTTTAATTTTGGTTTTCAGTTTTCACTTGGAAGAAAAATTCATGAAAGACAAAATTCGCAAACAAGGACTCTATCGTTATTTGTCTGTACACAAAAATGAATAAAAACTAATCAAAAGGTAAATTGTCCAATACACCAAAAATCGACACACTACAAAGATGAAAAGCTATGTTATATGGTTTCCTGATTTTCTGATTTTCCTTTTTTTTATAATATATCTGACACACTCAAAATCAAGGGTTGTTGTGTCTGAGATTATTTAGTCAAGGATTCGGCAAATGTAAGGAATTTCATTGAGAAAATGTTTCGTTTATTTTGCTGCAATGAATGAAAACTTCGATTCATTATTCTTTTGCTGATATACATTTCAAAAATATGTGCCTTATTTTTTTACATAGATCAAATAAAAGTGTTAGCCATTTCTAAACAGCTTCATTATGATCAAATGTGCCCACAGTAGGTAAAATATACAGTAAACAGCTACAGTAAATGAGAAATTTCACCAACGATACCAGGCTTATAATTTGGTACGTCAGACTGGCGTTTCGTCTACAAAAGGCACATCAGTATCGTTTGAATCAAAGTAGTTTGAGGGTCAAATCAAATGCGACGTTTAAAGGCATTAAAACAAAAAATTAGGAAAATTTCTGTTAAAAACGATTAATCTATGCCTGAGGACGACAAAACCTTTATTTTGTTATAAACAGTACATTTACAACATCAAAAAAGGTTTCAGTGATATTTCAGGACAGCACAAAAGTGCTGACAACTCGGCTGGTGATACCCACGGGAACTAAACGTTGAATGCGATTATCGATTACCGGAAAATCTTTCTATGTGAAAACCTTGAACTACTTAGACAACTCGGCCATCGCCAATGTCATCAGGAAAGCAAAGAAAAAACTTAATAACTGCATACTTTCGTTAGTTTAAAAATAATGTAATCGAAAGAATACCGAAAATATGCAAACCTAGGCAACCGAATGTATTATCATCGTATCCGATAAAATGGTCTTAAGGATAGATATAGGGTTTCAACTCTCTACACTACACTTCCACAATATCTTACCACAAAGACATTTTCGAAAAATTCATACAATCTTTTCAAAACAGTCTCGGTCCAAATCTATTTAACTCATACATTTCATGATAAGCCTTCTACTGTAGTTAAGAAAACACGTGGATATATTAAAATGAAATGCTAAATGAGAGGAGAAAGATACCAAAGGGACATTCAAACTCATAAGTTGAAAAGAAACTGACAACGCCATGGCAAAACAGAAAAGGATTAAAAGACAAACAACAGTATACAAAAAACAATGTAGAAAACTAAAGACTGAGCAACACGGACTAAACAAAAACCGGGGGTGATCCGGTAATAAGTCTAATTCGGTAGGGTCACATTCGGGGAAAAGAAGACGGGATTGAGGTTACGACAATGGGAACATATCCGTCGTTATCTGTGAAATAAATATTCCATCACGGTCAACTAACTTGTGATGGCGTCCGTAAAATTGTAGAAGGAATGATTTCAGCTTCACTTCTTGGAACTTTTTGTTTAACAGCTTCCTTGTGAGCAGCAACCCTCTATCAAGGAAATGATGAAAGGAAATGCAAACTCTGGAATATTGTATCAACTGGGAGATACAAATTCCATATACAGGAGCTACTGGAATGGTGCTACATAGAAACGAAATGTTCACAATTGGGAAGCTAAAATTATTTTGTCATAAAGCTGTTAATGTTCTCTTTGGCCAGATCAATGTACGTTTCGTTAGATTTGCGACATGTTGTACATATTGATTTGAACACGTTTTGTGCTCACTTAATATCAAATTGCTCCGGTTTTGTTTAAATCACATTGTTTGAATCACAGTGATTGACAAAAACTAGTCAATATTTGTCTGAATTCTACTTTCTAAAATAAAATATCACTAACCATACCGATTACAATTTTGCTTTACATATATGTAATCAATAATTTTCGAATTAAACTGTATAAAGCTCTTCACGTGATCATGATACCTAATATACACCCTTGACTTTCAACATTTTGGGTTTGAGCGTTCCGGATAAAATATATAATCCAGAAAGGTGTTATTTTCATTTTCTAGATTTGAATATGTATATTTCATACTTGAAACAGTACAGTTTAGCACTTTATTTAAATTATTACGCCCCTTTCGGCTTCTTCTTGCTGAGTATATATTTCCAAACTCGTGCGCTATGTCCGTGTATGTGGCTATGTTTTTGATTTGAATAAACCTTATCTATGTGTAACTTGTTACTTATTGAGCCTGGAAGTTGGTTCCCAAAATTTAAAAACCATTACGAAATTATTTCAAAGATACATATATTTGGTTTTGAAGTTCGCTTTACCAGTAGAAATCGTGTATCAGACGGATTTTAGTATCTTAAATTTGCGGTGAAAATGTTTATTGGTCACTTAGATGAAGATGATATCCACGAAATTACCAATGGTGTTACTCCAGTTGACACTTGTATTTTTTTTATTGCTGGATGTTTGCTTTGTTATGGTTTTTTAAACTACAGTAATTCAATGGTTTAAACTTCCCACTTACAACAAATACCATAATACAATGCACCATACACCATTACACCATACACTTAACATCATTCTACCGTACACCATACACTTAACATCATTCTACCGTACACCAAACAGCCTGCAGCATTAAATATAAGCTAAATCAACTAAGCAAGGCATTTGTGTTTGTCCCGGCTGATAAGGCTGCCAAAAATATCGTACTTGTTTGACATACATTTTATACTGAGGTTCTTCAAGCAATTCGATAAGGAGATTCCGTATATATTCAAATTATCGGAATTCCAAAGGGACTAACTGTGCAACACTTACTGCTGGCCTGTTTCTGTATTATTACGAATCACAATTATGGATAAAATCAACAAAGACAATCTAAACATCATCTGATATAAAAGTTTAATTATACTTTAAATGACGACTTCAGTATGTGCAGTAAAGATAGTTATCCTGTTGAACTTACTTTAAAGCTTATATTAACAATGAACACTGCTCTTTCCTTGATCTTGATATCTATATCTCTAATGGGAAACTTGATACTAAAATTAACAAAAAAAGAGATGATTTTTATAACCTGATGTTAACTATCTGTTTTTAGATGTTGATTTCCTTTGGCACCATCGTATGGTGTTTATATGTCTTTACTTGTTCGAATCGATCGTGTATGTAACAACGTATTTTCCTTTAACGAAAAAAATCCCTGTATTACTGAAAAATTATTACACTAGAGTTTTCGATATCACAAACTTGTTAAAACTTTTATTAAACTTGATCATCGCAACAATGACATCATTCGTACGTTATACGTTCAGGTATTTCCAATCTTTTATAGTTAAAATCTATACAGAGCAAAAAAATGTTGTTCTTAGCCTCAAAAGCTAACCAAACCTTTAAACAGACTTATTTACAAGGGATATAGTAACGATATTGTTTTCAAGTCATTAGAGATGGCATTTTATGGAATTTATATTGATTCACCCATAGGGTCTTTGCATCGGAAATAAACACATTTATTATAAAACCAGTAATTTCATAATACGAGTTATGTTCTTCTCGTATGATTTATAATGGCACGATACTAAACCTCTAACAGGAGGGATAGTGGTAGATTTTCATATGATGAAGACATAATAATACAATCAGTTTAACAAGTCTGCTGCTGGCATGTCCGTAGCTGCTTGGTAGTATATCTTTATCAATTTATTTTTTAACATTGGCATTTTGCTTAGTTTCTTCTGTTTCCTATTCTAACATCGAGCTCGAATTTCTTTTGAACTGAATTTTGTTGTGCGTATTGCTGTGTGTTTGATTATTCAACATTAACTAGAGGTATAGGGGGATGTTTGTGATCACACAAAACGTGTTTAACCGAGTCGCATGTTTTTGCGCCTATCCCAAGTCATGAACCTCTAGCCTTTGTTAGTCTTGTGTGTGTGTGTTTGTTTTAAGTTCGGTTCATTTGTATGTTTCGGAGTTAAGTTTGGCGTCCATTTCGCTGAACTTCTATACTTTATTGTTTAGGGGCCAGCTGACGCCCGCCTCCAGTTGCCAGATTATTTCGCTGCGTTGAAGAACAATCGGTGGCCATTGGCTGTTTTCTGCTCTTTGGTCGGATTATTGTCTCTTTGACTTATTCCCCGTTTCCATTCTCTATTCAATATACCATTCTCCATGAATTTTACTTCACAAATCGTCCATATTTGTGTTCTAAAACTAACTAAATTATATAAACCATGCAGCATTACGCTATTCCCCATGCACCATACACCATTCCTTATTGCTTTATTACACCATACACGTTTTATTGGATCGTTAACATCATTCAAGAGATGTTGATCTGTTTGAGGTGTACCTTTTTTATAAGTCTGGTAGATCATGTTTCATTTATCAGTCGAAAGTCAGATTTGATCTAGCTTTCAGAAATTGTGAGAACTCTAAGAACAGTACAGTGTGTCGTGTGACTTTTTCCTAGTTGTTTGTGTTCTTAATTCCATTCTCGTTGGTCTACAGTTTATATTTACGTTTTATTGTTACACCAATGTTAATATTTTGGGTAGGGTTGAGTGCGTACACACATGTTTGACCTCGCCACATTGTATTAGCCTGTCCGAGCCAAACGTTAAAAAGGGTTAGATCATCCCATTTGGTCTTCGATTGATAGTTGTTTCACACATAATCATACCACACCTCTTTTTTCTATATCTATTGTAGTCGTTGCGATATCCACAGTTATAAAACTTACAAAGATTTGCATTCATTTGAGATTTATTCCCTTCAACGCTTCACACTTTACGAAACACCACTTTCATGGCAAAAGACATAACTTATAACATACGTGTCCTAATTTACAGTTGATGATTTAGGAAACTAGATGTAAGATTCTAACTTTTCCAGACAAGCTTATATTTAATAGTTTTAACTTTATTTTTTTTTTCCTATTGATCATAAAGCTTGTCAAGTACATTATTATATTTGCACTATGCATTTCTGTCAAGTCAATTAGAATGGTGATGGAATATACAATTTCTTATATTGCAAAATATCAGCGTAATTTCATATTCTGACTGCATTATACTAACAAATATGTATGATACCTTTAATAAAATTTTAAAACAGAGTATAAACATCTCTTTACCGGACTTCATAATGTTTTCGACGTATTTTGAGACAGCCTTGCTGTTTAAAGTCAACATACCTTTATTTCTTGTGAGCTTTCCCATAGCATACTTGGTGCTGCTTGGAAACTCTTAAAAATCTTCGTTATTTAGAACGGAATTAAAATCCAATTAATATCAATCAAACAGAGAATCAACTAATCAATTTATTTGTTATAATCTTAATCAAGGCATTTGTTTCCATTTTTCCTATTTGTATCGAACAAGCTCTGTTGAATGAGACGATGGAGTCGATCTTTCAATTGAGCATAGGAACGGTATTGTAAACCGCCGTAGAAAAATCGAAGGTTTCAATATTATTGAAAATTGTAAAGATTGTGATTGCATATGTTGAGTAGACTTTGTGGGATTTTTATGAATCCATATCTGATTAACAACGCTGGTTTAATATACCCATTACAATATTAATGAACGCCATCTTTGACTGTAGAACGGATTTTGGTAAGAACTTCAGACAAATTTTCAGTCGAACACCTTGAACCGGGTACATTTCATTCTTTGTATGTATTTTGTGAGGTTTAGGTATCGAGTATAAAGATGGGAAATTTTCATAGTCCCTTTTTATGTTAAAATCAAGGTAAGAAGGGCAGATTTTTAAATTTCTTAAATATTCTCTGTTTTGTGAATGATATGGGGGTGTAAGGTTGAAAATGAATTATTAATTCTTTCGTGAATCATTCCAAAAAATGATTTTTCAATATAAAAAACATATTGTTTGAGGCTTTGTCTTATGGAACAACATCATATTTGTCATGAAGAGAGAATAAAGCATCTACAACTACGGACTTCTATGACCGAAAAGCTTTGCCCCATTCCTAAAACAAATGTCCTGTTTTTAGTTCATCTGGTTTGCACTTTATCCAATTTCTAGTGTAGTTCTACCCTGCATCCATCAGTAACCTGAAGTCTTCGTTTTCCAGTTGATCTGGTAGAGAATTTGACATTTTGGCTAACAACACTCTACGGTATTCATTTTTTAATGTATGGGAAAGAGTTTACTTCGAATATAGTGAGTTTTAAAAAGTTTATAAACAGAGTATAATAAACCGTCTACGGACAAGGTGTGAATTTCAGGTGGTTCATATTGTCGATGACCGTGACTTCACTTGCGTTGAATAGAAGTGCTAAATAATTCTAATGTGTAGATATTACTACTAGTGCGATGACCAAAGACAGAATGATTTTGATGTAATCTCCCCGTATTTATAAATGATGCAGCTTAATAGAACAGGTATTAAATGGAGTGGACAAATCAGTGCGGAGTTTTCATTCGAAATGCCCGTCCGTGATTTGCTTTTATATAAAAAGACCGTTTTCTTTGACAGAAAAAGGCGAAAATACAAAAACATAAAACATGTAATAGTAAGATAACAACATTTAACTGGAAAAAAATTAATATAATTTCAAACATATAGTAAACTTAAATATTACAACATCATCAATATATCTG